CTTTCTCATTGGTCAGGACTTGACTGTCTGGAGAGAAGGCTGAGCTCGGTCAGAGTCTGCAGGATTTGTTTGTTTAATAACTGACTGGAAAATTAACCAATCAGAATGCTGATTTAGTGTGGGTGGGACCAAAAAACAGAGCCCTGGGCCTTCGGGAAGGCCTTGCGAAGAGTTTCTTTTTCTTTGACCATGTGAAGATTTGTGATGCATTCAACTACAACCTTTAAATTCAAGTATCCACACCGAAAGTGTAGTTGATTTAAAAATGAAGGTTAAATATCACATTTAGATTTACTTTCTGTTAAATTTCAGTGTGCATTGTTGAAATGACATGTACTTGAATGCAAGAGGCTGGATGAGCCACAGGGTTATGTCTTGGGCCAAAAATGGGTGGACTTTTTGGGTTATGTGTTCAGATGGGTTGTTCCTGTTGGTTGTTCTGTTTAGTGTTGGGTTGACAAATATGTTTAGGTTGTTGTTAATGACTGTACAAGAAATGACACCATGTGTCAGCTGTTGCACCTGATGGACAAACAGGGAAAAAGCACTTCCTGTCGGCAAGTTACTGAACTGCAAAACTAAAAGTGATGTAATCAAACCGTGACAATGTAATGTAGTAATAGGATGTTACATCCTAACTGAAGGCCTAGCTTGGTTCACCGCTTTGTTGCAGTATTTATACAGTGCCAGAACAGAATGTTGTTATATGCTGCTTGCAACAAGATTATCCCAAAATAACTAAATGATTCATTTGAGAGAAAGCAAAGAAGAAAGTGATGACAGACGTTGTCCTTATGTGTCATCTCTCCTCAACTCTTTCCTGTCTGTCTTTTTGTTCTGCAGCAGTTTCAGAATCCTGCAGCCAACATTTAACTAAACAATGATTCACACTAAAGTCACATTTGCTCTTTTGCATGTGATTGTGTGGTTCAGATGTACAAAGAACATGGTTTTAATGCTGGAGATTCAGAGTCTGTTTCTTGCATTCATATCCTCCATGTGAATTTGTGATTGTTGACTGCAGCAGATTTTCGGTTCAGCTGTTAATTTGGTGACAAAAGTTGATCAGTTTCACAGATCCAGAACCGATGCAGCACGTTGCATGATACTTCAGAGTTCGGACAGCATGTAAAGCACACCAGTGTTCCTTTAGACATGTTTTAAACTGATAAACTTAAGAGAAAGGATGGGGAATTACAAAAAATGATTACTTTGACATCAAAATTTTTGTTATAAATATGAATGGCTTTTCTAAAAGGTAATCCATCCATCCATTATCTTTTACCCGCTTCTTCCATTTTGGGTCACAGGAGTCACTGGTACCCATGTCCGGCAATCATTGTGCGAGGGGCGGGGTACACCCTGGACGGGTTGCAAGTCCATCACAGGGCCACATAGAGACAAACGAGACAAACAACCATTCACTCTCTCACTCACACCTAGGGACAATTTAGAGTTACCAATCAGCCTAACATGCATGTTTTTGTTCTGTGGGAGGAAACTGGAGTACCCGGAGAAAACCCACGCATGCACGGAGAGAACATGCAAACTCCATCCAGAACGGCCCCTGGACTGGGATTTGAACCGGGGACCTGCTCGCTGAGAGGCAGCAGCTCTACCAGTTGTGCCACCGTGCTGCCCCTAAAAGGTAATATTAACAACATATTGCAAAAATAAATAAATAAATAAAATTCACGCTGGGATGAACAGTGTTTGAGATATTCTCAAGCACAGTGGCAGGAAGTGACATCAGTATCAGGAAGTGTTGTCAGAAGGGAATGCTTGCATGCAAACAGAGAATTGCTACAATGCTAACAACACAGACAGCAGAAAAGAAACTGATGTTGCTTTCGAGTATTTTGAGACAATATTGGAGAATCAGAGGTCAGATAATGTTTTAATAAATAAAGACCAGGAAGGAAGTTCCTGTTTTTAAAAGAGTTCCGCTTTGATGTCACTTCCTGTGTCACGATAGCTGTACCAAGTAAATGGACTGTACTTATATAACACCTGTCTAGCTTATCAAGACACTCAAAGAGCTTTACACTACAATCTGCGCCCTCATGTACCCATTCTCTACTAGAAATACCTGTATAAAAAGCTAATTGAACAAATCATTCAAAAGAGACTAATCATCTGAGTTTTTTAGATCACATTCATACACCGATGGGACACACATTGGAGGAAATGAGGTGTTCAGTGTCTTGCCCAGGGACACTTCTGCATGTGACTGCTGGTGGAATTGAACCCCCAACTCTTGCATTGGAGGACGACTGCTCTAACCATTCAGCCACAGCTGCCCTAAATTAAACAACAGTGCGCCAGAAAGGGGTAAAATTGTATTTTAAGCCACATTTCATAAATATTTTTTAAAAAAAATCGACCTTTTCATTCAGCTCAATTCAATTCAGTTTGTTTATAAAGCGCCAAGTCACAACAGAAGTTATCTCAGGACACCGCACAGAAACATCCATATATAAAAATAATAAGTTAACAGTAATTATCTGAGGAGCAGATAACTAGATAGATAGATAGATAGATAGATAGATAGATAGATAGATAGATAGATAGATAGATAGATAGATAGATAGATAGATAGATAGATAG